GAACGCCCTACCCATAAACACCATAACCGGTCCGCCATTTTGTTTCAAAATATTTTCAGCCTCCAGGGGCTCGACTATATCGCCCACGGCTACAGTGGCCATACCAGTTGCCCGGCTAATAATACCGGCGCTGTCTACTTGCATGGGACTGGGATCAAGGGGGTTATGGGTGCACTGGGCTACCACATCACCGGAACTACAGTCTATAAAGTCAACGCCAATTTGTTTTAGTTGCCTTGCTAAGATTATGCTATTTTCCAGCTCCCAGCCCATGTCGCAGTAGTCGGTCACTGATAGGCGTACACCAAGGACTATGGTGTCGGGTAGGGCCTGGCGCACACCACGGGCTATGTCCAGGGCCAGTCGCATGCGGTTAACTAGACTACCCCCGTACTCGTCCGTACGTTTGTTTGTGATTGGTGATAAAAATGTACTGACCAGGTAGCCATGCCCGAAATGTAGCTCAATCACCTAGATGATATACATAAAGGTGAGATATCTATATATGTACAGTATATCATTTTTGTTTATCAATAGCATTACTACAGTAATTGTATAAGTTCAAAAATTTTGTACATCTATGACCTAGATTGATAAATATTAAACAAGTATTTATATATGTGATTTGTAATAAATTAGTATCTAGATAAATTTTAATAACTACTCACGTAATCACAGTAATAATCATATAAATATAATGAAGTAAAAGCAGAGTTGAAAAATAGCTTTTAATAAGAAATTTTAACATATTGTAAGCCATACCTGAAACTCGGCCTCAACGGCACGCTTGGCGGCCGACACGTGCGCCTCCGTAACCCTAGAAATATCAGCACCGGTAGCCTCTATGGGCACTACCGACCTATCATTATAGGCTATGGGGGAGGGTGCGATCACGGGGTAAACACCACAATCAGTCCAACCCATAAACGTATCGGTGTTACGAAGTTCAATATTAGCCTTACGACCAGCATGCACCAATTGCAATCCGGGAACAGCACCTTGGTCCTTTATAAATGTGATTATTTCACACATGGGCTTCAACTGATCGTCCCGCCATAGGCCCGGGCTATGTTTAGATAGTCGACCCCCAGGTTCGACACCTGTAGCCTCCATCATGACCAGACCGGCCCCACCGCGTGCCAGTGTTCCGTAGTGAACCAGGTGCCAATTGTTAACCATACCACCATGAGCACCGGTATCCAGGTTTTCAGGCTCGCACATGTGCTGGCTCATTGGGGCAACACATATCCGGTTCCGGAACCTAACCCCGCGTATTGTAATTGGTGTAAACATGGTAGGTTTAGGTTGCTTATCCACCATGATTACTTTGTAATTGTATATAATTTAAGATTTTCTAAATCTGTGTTGACAAAATAAACTCACAATTTTAGATAAGTTGCGTGTTGAAAGCTATTTAATGAATTTTAATGTATTACATGTAAATATTAAAAAGCTTTCAACTAGCAACTAGTCAAAAATTATGAGTTTATTTTTCCAACACAGAAATAATTATTTAAAATGTTATTGAATGTTGAAATTAACTTAATTTTAAATACTTAGAAATGTAGGTTAACAACTATAAAATATTTATTACAATGCAAAATTTGTAATTAAATTGCCATATAATGCTACCTTTTTTCTAGACATTCTACTAGGCACTAATTATACATCATAATACCGTACTGTACTTAAAATTCCATGCAAACAAGGTGATTTAGCATAATGTAATTCATGATATACTAATAAATAGATATTAAGTCTGGATAGGATTCCAACTATTAAGATCATATTCCCATATTTTAAAATTAATTGCTAATTTATGTTTTGTTATATAGCCGTATTTACTTCCATAAAAATAACTTGTTAATATTTAATTATTTTAATGTCAGAAAATTTAATTAAATTGTAATAAATTAACGTAACTGAAAATATAAGCACATTATAAAATATTACACAAACGTCCAATTCTGACATTAATATTATGTAATATCATTAAACATTAAGATTATAAAATTTCTGTAAAAATTATAAAAGAAATATTATTAAATACAAGTTTATAGTATGAGTTCATAGTTCATATAAATAATTTATAATCACAGTATAATTAAAATTTATTATATTCACAAATCTAACTGATATTTAAGCTATTATGCTAGTTATTAAATAAACATAATGTGTACTAAAAGTGCCCTATACCTACAGTAAAACCTCAAACGTTATAATACACTATTAAAACTATTAATAATTTATATTCTTAGATATTTAATAGATTAATATAAATATATCGAGAAATAAATTAAATTAAAAATGCACTAACATATTTATATAATAACTAGTGTCTAATACTGACAAATTTAAATATAAATTTTATTTTCCAATCTACTTATCTAATCTCATGCTTTTATAATAGGCTCGCAATTCATACGAATAATATTTACGCATTAACAACTGGTAGGGCAATATTAACTGTATATACCAACAATAATATACTGTATTTTCGTTACTAATCAACGTAAAATACTATACTGATAATTGTTGTATGACTTACTTAATAGCGATGCAACCATTAAATCAAGGGCGATAAGTGAACATAAAGTTGAATGCTCATATTAAAATTATATATGCTATAAATACTTTGCACAGTGTTTCATATTTAAAAACAACTTATTTATAATTAATTTTATAATTTTAATTTCTTTAGTTTCTGCGATTTCACCGTTTTGTCTGACCCAGCTCAATACCAGGCAACAGGTAGTCGCGAACATGGCTGCCTTGAGATCGTTGCTGATATTGTCATCACTCGTGGCCACAATGACGTGCGTATCTGTGCACCTGGATCAGTTTCACACACTTATAGGCGACCGCTGTTTCAACGAGACCTACGACGGGAGGCCACTGACGTTGGGTCAGACGAATCCGGTCGGCCTTTCCGTCGAGAATCTCATTTCACTCATCGAGAAGATTGAGGCCAAACGACCCCAACTCAGTGCCCAACAAATTGTGTTACTTATACTCAGAAGGTATGCCCCAAACATGGCTATTGAATATTCTGTTGTTTACATAAGTCTTTTGAAAGAATTTTGTAAAATTAAGTATAATATCTATGTATAATGAATCTTTTGATTGGATAACTTAAACATCTATAAGTATGAATGTCATTTTTGTACAATTGTACATTTAAATACATTGTACTTTGTAGATTCAATCCTTAAATTTATTTATAAACAAAAATTTAAGTACGATTATAACTAAATTGCCAAAAAATAGGTTTCTTTTAAGGAGGGTGCGACACTTTTAATGTCACGCAAACATTTATGCATAACTGGCTTATTATTATTAATATAATAATTCTATTAACATTCAACGTTACATAGTTATTTATAATAGCTCGTAAATAAGTAACAAAATAACTATTGGATATAAATTACTTAATTTTGATAAAGTACTCAAATAACCAAATTAATCTATAAAATATATTGAGAATATCAGAATATATCGATAACATATAGTTTAATAGATTTGGGGATATGTTCACAAATGATCGTCTATGTGCACAAAAGGGTTATGTATTTTTCAATTCAAACTGTTTACATAACATTATCATTGCATTTATAGTATCTAGTATTGTTTATTACTTTGAGAAATGCAATGATTATGTTATGTATACAGTTTGCATTAAAAAAATACATAACCCTTTTAAGCACCCAGTGGGTCAAATATGAGATCAAAGTTACAAACAAATAATATAAAGGATAAGAATAACCGCCTGTCCTGACCATCAGGTTCCACATCGACGGTCTCCATCTGAATGGTGTGGTGAACATCCAGTCGCAGATCGAGATGAAGCACCGGAGGATCACCGAAGAGACAATGTGGTCGTACAGGGGGTCGGGCATCTGGAACATGGAGTTCCCCGAAGAGATACTCACGGAGGACGAGAAGTGCGCTCTGTTTTACACACTCTCTCATACGGTCAACGAGACGGCCGGACGTGAAGACAAGCACCCGTACCACAAGACAATACACCTCTCGAGGTCGGCCACCAAACCCAATCATAAGGCAGTGGTTCACGAGAGCGAGGCTCCCGTTCCCGTTCAGTCGGAGTTCCTTCAGAGCAAACCCAAGGGAAAACATATCAATATACCAGTGTAGGTGCGCTACGTTTAATTGTATGAATGCTTTTGTTAATTAATGATTTTCATATTGATGTGAAACTACAGGTCAGGGCCGAGTAGTATGAAACTCCGTCATCCCCGTGAGAAGGGTGTGGCCAGTTTTCGTAACGACAGGACTATGGCCATCGCCGCCAATCGGGTGCTGTTGGGAACGGCAGTCGGCTTACTGTCACCCCAACCCAAATCCACGCACACTCTCATCAATACCATTGGCAACGTTGAGATGAACACAACTCTAAGCATACCTGACCAACTGGTCGACCCCTTATTAGCGGTCACTCTATCGGATCTGTTGGGCATTGGCGGGGACTCTGGACTCAAGATACCGGCCGGGGGTGTGATGTTTGGCGCTGAGGGGAACTGGAACTCAACGGCCTGTCAGACCAGTTATAGGCTGACGAGTGCCGGCACTCTCGCCACTATGGCTGAGCTCAGGGGTGGACTCGACGGTTGGAATATTGGCCGCAAATTACCCACAATTCTACGGCAATACCCGACCATCAGGTTGAGTCAAATACTGAGATGGTATTACTCGCCCAAAGGGTTGGCCCCCGACGCCACTGTATGCAACCGCGGGTACGGACTCGTCGGTGAACTCGAGAATAAGATCCAGAGGGAGGCCGAGAATTACATACGCGTATGGAATGGGGTTTTCTATGCGAACGCCTTTCCCGACCACCAATTGACTGGTTTTATAGGCGAAACCTGGCGTTCATTCTACCAGTTCCTCAACAAAGCCGGCACTGAGAGACCCAGCGGTGAGACAATCCCTTTCCTTTCATAACCTAATCTCTCATATAATATAACAAATTAAACAAAAGTTTAATCAATTGTTTGTGTGATATAATAGAGGAGAGAGACTACTGTACGACGACTAGTGTGGGGACGGACTACAAGTCGGCGACAATCGAGACGTCGACGGATGTGTTCTTCATGTTAGACAATATGCCCGCAAAGGGCGAGGGTTTCGATGAGGAGATCAAAATGGTTACGAATATTGTGCGACAATTGAATTTAGGCCGAAACGCCG